GGTGTTGTGTCTTGCTGATGTTGTGTACGTGCAGGTGTTGTGTCTTGCTGATGTGTGTGCTGCAGGTGTTGTGTCTTGCTGATGTTGTGTGCTGATGGTGTTGTGTCTTGCTGATGTTGTGTGCTGCAGTGTGTTGTGTCTTGCTGATGTTGTGCTGCTGGTGATGTGTCTTGCTGATGTTGTGTGCTGCAGGTGTTGTGTCTTGCTGATGTTGTGTGTTGCAGGTGTTGTGTCTTGCTGATGCTGTGTGCTGCAGGTGTTGTGTCTTGCTGATGCTGTGTGCTGCAGGTGTTTGTGTCTTGCTGATGCTGTGTCCTGCAGGTGTTGTGTCTTGCTGATGCTGTGTGCTGCAGTGTGTGTCTGCTGATGCTGTGTGCTGCAGTGTTGTGTCTTGCTGATGTGTGTGCTGCAGGTGTTGTGTCTTGCTGATGCTGTGTGCTGCTGGTGTTGTGTCTTGCTGATGCTGTGTGCTGCAGGATGTTGTTGTCTTGCTGATGCTGTGTGCTGCAGGTGTTGTGTCTTGCTGATGTGTGTGCTGCAGGTGTTGTGTCTTGCTGTGTTGTGTGTTGCATGGTGTGTGTCTGCTGATGTTTGTGTGCTGCAGGTGTTGTTCTTGCTGATGTTGTGTGTTGCAGGTGTTGTGTCTTGCTGATGTTGTGTCTGCAGGTGTTGTGTCTTGCTGATGCTTGTGTGCTGCAGGTGTTGTGTCTTGCTGATGCTGTGTGCTGCAGGTGTTGTGTCTTGCTGATGCTGTGTTGCTGCATGGTTGTGTCTTGCTGATGCTTGTTGTGCAGGTGTTGTGTCTTGCTGATGCTGTGTGCTGCAGGTGTTGTGTCTTGCTGATGCTGTGTGCTGCATGGTGTTGTGTCTTGCTGATGCTGTGTGCTGCAGTGTGTTTGTCTTGCTGATGCTGTGTGCTGCAGGTGTTGTGTCTTGCTGATGCGTGTGCTGCAGGTGTTTGTCTCGCTGATGCTGTGTGCTGCAGGTGTTGTGTCTTGCGGATGTGTGTGCTGCAGGTGTTGTGTCTTGCTGATGCTGTGTGCTGCAGGTGTTTGTCTTGCTGATGCTGTGTGCTGCAGGTGTGTGTCTTGCTGATGTTGTGTGCTGCAGGTGTTGTGTCTTGCTGATGTTGTGTGCTGCAGGTGTTGTGTCTTGCTGATGTTGTGTGTTACAGGTGTTGTGTCTTGCTGATGTTGTATGCTGCAGGTGTTGTGTCTTGCTGATGTTGTGTGCTGCAGGTGATGTGTCATTCTGATGTGTGTGCTGCAGGTGTTGTGTCTTGCTGATGTTGTGTACTGCAGGTGTTGTGTCTTGTGATGTGTGTGCTGCAGGTGTTGTGTCTTGCTGATGTTGTGTGCTGCAGGTGTTGTGTCTTGCTGATGTGTATGCTGCAGGTGTTGTGTCTTGCTGATGTTGTGTGCTGCAGGTGTTGTGTCTTGCTGATGTTGTGTGCTGCAGGTGTTGTGTCTTGCTGATGTTGTGTACTGCAGGTGTTGTGTCTTGCTGAGTTGTGTGCTGCAGGTGTTGTGTCTGCTATGTTGTGTCTTGCTGATTGCTGTGTGCTGCGTGTTTGTGTGCTGCGGTTGTGTCTTGCTGATGTTGTGTGCTGCTGGATGTGTCTTGCTGATGTTGTGTGCTGCAGGTGTTTGTGTCTTGCTGATGTTAGTGTCTGCAGGTGTTGTGTTCTAGCCTGATTATGTGTGGTTTGGCAGGTGTTGTGTCTTGATGATGTTGTGTGCTGCAGGTGTTGTTCATGCTGATGTTCGTGCTTCAGTGTTGTGTCTTGCTGATGTTGTGTGCTGCAGGTGTTGGTCTTGCTGATGTGTGTGCTGCAGGTGTTGTGTCTTGCTGATGCTGTGTGCTGCAGGTGTTGTGTCTTGCTGATGTTGTGTGCTGCAGTTGTTGTGTCTTGCTGATGCTGTGTGCTGCAGGTGTTGTGTCTTGCTGATGTTGTGTGCTGCAGTTGTTGTGTCTTGCTGATGTGTGCTGCATGTGTGTGTCTTGCTGATGTGTGTGCTGCAGGTGTTGTGTCTTGCTGATGTTGTGTGCTGCAGGAGTTGTGTCTTGCTGATGTTGTGTGCTGCAGGTGTTGTGTCTTGCTGATGTTGTGTACTGCAGGTGTTGTGTCTTGCTGATGTGTGTGCTGCAGGTGTTGTGTCTTGCTGATGTTGTGTGCTGCAGTGTTGTGTCTTGCTGATGTTGTGTGCTGCAGGTGTTTTGTCTTGCTGATGTTGTGTGCTGCAGGTGTTGTGTCTTGCTGATGTTGTGTGCTGCTGGTGTTGTGTCTTGCTGATGTTGTGTGCTGCAGTGTTTTGTCTTGTGATGTGTGTGCTGCAGGTGTTGTGTCTTGCTGATGTTGTGTGCTGCTGGTGTTGTGTCTTGCTGATGCTGTGTGCTGCAGGTGTTGTGTCTTGCTGATGCTGTGTGCTGCAGGTGTTGTGTCTTGCTGATGCTGTGTGCTTTGGCTTCTGACTGTGTCCTGCAGGGTTGTGTCCTTGCTGTACTGTGTCCTGCTGTACTGTGTCCTGCTGGTACTGTGTCCTGCTGGTAATGTGTTCTGCTCTACTGTGTCCTGCTGTACTGTGTCCTGCTGTACTGTGTCCTGCTGCTACTGTGTCCTGCTGTACTGTGTTCTGCTGGTACTGTGTCCTGCTATACTGTGTCCTGCTGGTGCTGTGTCCTGCTGTACTGTGTCTTGCTAGTACTGTGTCCTGGCTGGTGTCTGGGTGTTCTGCTGGTAATGTGTCTGCGTGACGTGTCTGCTGGTACTGTGTCTGCAGGTTACTGTGTCTGCTGTACTGTGGTCCTGCTGTACTGTGTCTTTCTGTTCTGTGTCTGCTGGCACTGTGTCTGCTGACTGTGTCTGCAGGCACTGTGTCCTGCTGGTACTGTGTCTGCTATACTGTGTCCTGCGGTGCTTGTGTCCTGCTGTACTGTGTCCTATGTACTGTCTGCTGCGGATCGTGTCTGCTGGTCTGTGTCCTGCGGTGACTGTGTCCTGCTGGACTGTCTCCTGCTGTTTCTGTCTCCTGTGTACTGTTGTCATGCTGTTACTGTGTCCGTGCTGGCACTGTGTCATGCTGACTGTTGCTGCTGGTCTGTGTCCTTGCTGTACTGTGTCCTGCTGTACTGTGTCCTGCTGTACTGTGTCCTGCTGGTACTGTGTCCTGCTGTACTGTGTCCTGTTGGTACTGTGTCCTGCTGGTACTGTGTCCTGCTGTACTGTGTCCTGCTGTACTGTGTCCTGCTGGCACTGTGTCCTGCTGTACTGTGTCCTGCTGACACTGTCCTTCTGGCACTGTGTCCTGCTGGCACTGTGTCCTGCTGTACTGTGTCCTGCTGGCACTGTGTCCTGCTGTACTGTGTCCTGCTGGCACTGTGTCCTGCTAGTGACACAGCACCTTGTATCCCTCACTTTAACAGTGACTAATGTAACGTAACAATCACTAAGACAATGTAACAGTGACTTTCTTGTTTTCTACTATTACTTCTTCTTATACGTTTTATTTTCTACGTCTACCGCTGCATCACTTCTACTTCTACTACTGTTATTACTAGTAGTAGTAGCAGCAGCAGCAGTGGTAGTAGTAGTAGTAGATGTAGTAGTAGTAGTAGTGTAGTAGTAGTAGTAGTAGTAGTAGGTGTATTATTATCATTATTAACAGTAGTAACGATGAACACTCATCACAAGAAGATAAACAATCATCACAAGAAGATAAACAATCATCACAAGAAGATAAACAATCATCACAAGAAGATAAACAATCATCACGAGAAGATAAACAATCTTCACAAGAAGATAAACAATCATCACAAGAAGATAAACAATCATCACAAGAAGATAAACAATCATCACAAGAAGATAAACAATCATCACAAGAAGATAAACAATCATCACAAGAAGATAAACAATCATCACGAGAAGATAAACAATCATCACGAGAAGATAAACAATCTTCACAAGAAGATAAACAATCATCACAAGAAGATAAACAATCATCACAAGAAGATAAACAATCATCACAAGAAGATAAACAATCATCACAAGAAGATAAACAATCATCACAAGAAGATAAACAATCATCACGAGAAGATAAACAATCATCACAAGAAGATAAACAATCATCACAAGAAGATAAACAATAATCACAAGAAGATAAACAATCATCACAAGAAGATAAACAATCATCACAAGAAGATAAACAATCATCACGAGAATATGGGAAAGTCCCTCGACAACTGATTCCCTGAATCTCTGAGTCTTCTGAGAGTGACTGAGGAAGCTGAGGATGTCACTGTCCTCATCCAACCTCTGAGATAACTGAGACGCAATTAGCCTAAGGCTCCTCCTGTCTGTTCCAGTATGTGGAGTGAAGGTTACGAGTGAGCTCAGGCGAGTGCGGCAGCTGGGTTTAACATTGTCAACTGTCATCACATTTAACAGAATAATATATATATATATATATAAATATATAAAAAATTTATATAAAAATTATATTATATATTATATATATAAATATAATATATATATATATATATATATATAATTTACATTACTCGGTGAAAAAAACCATACCACGGGCGGGATTTGAACCCGCGGTCAGAGAGTCTCCGACCGCGGGTTCAAGCCCCACCCGTGGGATGGTTTTTTTTGCAATCGTGTCATTACGATTTCGTGGGAATCATTACTGGGTGTATATATACGCCGCGTTCTGACATATGAAGAACTACACTAACTAGGTAATTACACACACGGGGTTGTTTACATGGTTCAGTGTTGCAGTTGACAAGTAGTTTTACTCACGAATGTTCTTATTAATTTCGTCTAAGAATAAACATTGTGATCTCCCTGATTGCAAAGTATATAATGAAAATATTGTACTGCATCAAACATTTGTTATAATGAAAATATACTCGAGTTTTTAACTGTTATTGGAGGAAAGAATTAGAATACGTGGGAGTTGGGAGAGGTTACGTGGGTGAGGGTGGGTGGGAGTAGGTCAGTCAGTCAGCAACACTGCTCTCAGTCTTAACTCTCTGGTAATAACTGTTACTTTGTAGTTCAAGTCTTTGTAGGGGGTTTTGAGAAGGGTCAAAAATATTTTTATATTTTTTTCACGATATCGGGGATTACGAGTAGATTAATTTTTTTTTTTTCAATGGAGTGTACAAGTTTTATTACTCGTTATTCTCCCTCCAGAGTAACTGGGGACTCCCTCGTTATGTCGACGTTTCCAAACTCTAGTTTTGAACAAGTTTTAAGATTTCTTGGGGAACAAACACTTCTTGGAACTTTTAAGTTTTAGACGGGTTCGCTCTTTTTTTTTTCTTTATCTAATTCCCCTCACTCGCTCGCCCACGCATACCAAGACTTGTTCTAAATGGTTTTGTTGCGAGTTCTTCCACGACTCTTCCTCCTGCCACTTGCAGGTACTACCATAATCTCAACATGGCTGATAACTTGAGCACAACAACTGCTGGCTGTACCTTCTTCCTGAGGCTCGGAGCTCTACCAGTTGTGGCAGACTCTATCTCCAAAGCTAAGGAAATCTACATAAAAACCCAGGTTAGTCTCGAAGGAAGTTATTATTTTTCTCTTTACTATATGGTTCCCTCTAGTTAAACTATAAATTTCCATAATACTTCCATTAGAATTACAGAAGTGTAGGTGTGGTAGTAAGTGTAGCAGAGAGCAGTATAAGGGCAGCATCCAGGGTCCTGCCTTTGACTCAACCACTTCTGAGTCATGTTGGTGGCTGGCCAGCGGTAAACGAGTGGGCGTGTCAGGGGCTCGACAAGGTGCAAACCTGGGCACCAGTTGTCTGTAAACCAACTGCGCAGGTAAACTTTGATTTTAAAAGAAATGTGCAATGAAAATTTCAGACAGTTGAACTTGTTAGAAAGCTTCAGTGTAGTTAATTTAAAGTATCTTTTGCGGAAAGAAATTGCACTATAATCTGACATATCCAGTAAAAAGTAGCTAAATAAAATGTAATTCCTGAGTAAACGATACACTTGGTTAACAAAGACTTGATTAACCTTAAAGTATTATCCTAGAAAAGACTTAAACATTTAAAGGAAAATCTTATCACGGGTCTAACTAGTTTAAGTCGGTATTTAAACTTTTACCAGCCCTAATATTTAAATTTTTTTTTTAACTAGTTGGCATCGGCAGCAAATGTTTACCTAATTTCAGGTGGTAGATGAACTTAGAGAAAAATTACTGAACGTACTAGCTGGTGAACCTTCACAAACTTCTATAACAGATGCTGTTGTATTCCGCGCTGCCAACACTGTAAGTACTGTCTTGCTTTCACAACATTAAAAAGTAAAAACCAAATCTTCTGCGAACTTTGAAATTCCTTTAAACCCAATTTTTCCAAGTTATCTTGGAACTGTTTATGGACAATTCCTAATTTTTTTTTTCATACTTATCGAGACTTGAGAACCTTCCCATAATTCTTTTTATTCTATTTTTTCTTCATTGTAACAAGCAAACAGGTTAACACAACTTTAATAACTTATTCCACGATTCTTAGTTAGCTGGTTCTCTTTAATTTACTGAAGCATCTGTACCTTCCATGTAGACTAAATTTCAAGCCGGGAGCTTTTATTAGGTCGTTAGTTTTACTTAGAATTTTGATTGTTCGGTAATCTTTTCTCTAATATTTTACTCAAAGAAAACCAAGCCCAATTTATCTACTTACTAGACTGCTACTTGTATTCCTTCACCAATTAACGTCTAACACTTTGCATTAATTTGAAATTTAGTGAAATACAAGGTTAATTTATAAATGCCAACTCCAAATCCCAGATTCTGCTCCTAAGTAACACTAGAGGTGGACGTATAGCTGTGGAAGTCGCCACTATGATAGTAGACAACGCCAACACACTAGTGGACGCCTACCTTCCCCCAGTCCAGGGAGAACCAAAGGACACTGGTAAGAAAACTGACTTTTTTTTCCTAGACTTCAGCTTTCTAGCAAATGCCAAAATCCTATGGGGGAAAACTTTAAATTTTCTAGGTAGTGATGGCCTAGTGGTGAAGACTTCAACTTTGGCACTGAAGACTCGTCGCAGACTCTACCACACGACCCACATCTTCCTCCATCCTGATGTTACTTGTGTAAACTATTCCACCAATCACCTCGTGAGTAGAAATAAAATTCTTCGCTTAACTCTGCCTTATAAATGGGACTAGTTCTTAGTGGTAATAAGTCTTATTCTGTGTAATCTTTCAGGCTCACTTAATTCGTTCCTGGGCTACAGAATGGTGCAAAGCTAAACTTCAAGAAATTCCACCACGTATGACACCGATTAACTTCAGTATCTTTCTGGCTCGGAATGCAACAGGGAAAGTAACTCTTTATTTCCATAAACTGCTTGCTGCAGCGAGTCGGTTAACCTCGGCTTCTGATGCGGCAGCGACTCAAAAATCCTACACAGGCTATGTTCCTGCCAGACTTCAACACTTGTTGGTCCATTTCATAGTATGTTTGAAAGCTTTCTTCAGTGCAGCTCTCCAGACAAGTCTGGAGTCTTGGGCAAGTGGTTTTACTACATTTAAATTTTAGTATAGTTTATATATTCTGAAAACTGCCACGTAGATTGCTTAATGACTAAATTTCCCCCCCCCCCCGGTCTGGGAGGTTCATTGATACTGGTGACAGGCTCTTGATCTAGGTTGGCTCTGCGGTCAAGTTCCCAAAAAAAAAATTTAAACTAAATTCCCTCCCCCACAAGCGCTGTATAATCCTACAGGTTTAGCACTTTCCCCATTTATTAACTAAAAATTAACTGATTAGTTGACACTCTTGGTTGCACCGTGGTTGCTAATAGACCTACACAGCTTAAAATTGATAGACAATATAAAATATCCTAACCTCAATTCTCTTTATCTTGCTCAAATAAAAATCTTATTTCTCCTAGTAACTTTACTGTACTTACAGGTGACGACTGAACACTACCTCAGACGTACACTAGCAGCAAGGAACAAAGACAGTGCTACAGAAGTAACCATGGTTTAAGTTCCTCCAATTTAACTTTTAATTATTATCCTTCAGGCAGAGTTCAAATGTATTTGTTGCTGGGAATTAACTTAATAAAACTTTCTGAAACATCTCCTGTCTTTACTTGCCATAAAATTCACTTCTATCAGCTCGGTCTAGAAGCTAATCCGCTCGGTGACGAAACTGTTAATTGACCAAATGTGCAACACTATCCTTATTCACCCCTCGAGGAAGGTTCCTTTATGTTGGTGAGGGGCTCTTGATTTAGGGAATTAGATCTGTGCTCCAGTTCCCCGAATTAAGCCTGAATGCCTTCCACATCCCCCCCCCCCAGGCGCTGTATAATCCTCCGGGTTTAGCGCTTCCCCCCATAATTAATATCGTTATTCAGAACTTTTAAACAGTGGCTTCACCACTCCATAAGCGAATAGTTATCAGAGGCAAAAGGTCCGTCCCCATCCCCTAGCCTGAAATCTGTAACTGGTCCATCAGTAAGTTGGATATGCTGTACACAAGCGAGGCGAAGCAATCATACGTACTGTCAAAGTTGACAAAAAATGTGGAAGAAAGTCGTGCCTAACCTTGGGCAAGTGAATTCCGTGTATTAAAAAAAAAAAAAAAAAAAAAAAAAAAAAAAAAAAAAAATTTGCCGTATCTACTCCAGCAGGATTACCTGTAATTACCTTTAACTCCTGCTCTTCACTATTCTCCTTCGTATAGACTGAAGTGACAGAGGCGAAGCTTCTCATAAAATACCGGTGTTGCACGCGTTTAAACTTTAATAAAAGGTTCAGAGAACATGCTTTACCTATAACTGGTCTGACCTTCAGGCTACGATGCTAGAGTAAAAAAACATCTCTAAGACAATCTCTAAAAGGCCTTGCTTTTCTTTGTAATACCGGATTGCTAGTTCACTAGCGTATGGGTAGCTTAAGACTAGTCACCAAGCAGCATCTGCATTGCCAACCATCGCAAAGGACCCTCCTCGACGCGTACGTAATGTGGTGGGGATTAACTTCCACTCTCCCGGTCCTCTAACTAGGCGGAGTTTCCCCCGACACAAAGTACTTCAAAATCCGGTATAGCCTTTCAGGCTAATCTCACGATCCTAGACATTCCCCCTTCACTTTCGGGTTGAACCTTACACTGGTGAAGAGGTTCTGGCACTTTAAACGTCAAACCCTCAAAACTGGTTACAAACGTCACTCTTCCTCCAGTGCGTAGATTTGAAGAGTTGGCACTTCAAAAGCTGGACATTATTCTCTTACGAACTCTGGGCAAGCTGTATTAACGCACCTAACTATGTATACCATAGTTTAAAGACTTGCGTGTGATGCAGCCATGGAGTAGCTCGGAAATTAGTCTTGAGTTGGGCACTTAGCTCTTCTGCTTGCTAGCTAGGAAGACCCATTGTAATATAGCGCTTAACTGCAATGAAGTTTCTTCCACGGTCTACGCATACCGGGAAAGATTTTTACAAACTTCATTGTAACTATTACCGCAGGTCATTAGCAACGTCCAGTCAGACTTTGTAACAGACCATATCAACGCATCCTGCTGCCAAAGCAAGCACATCCACTCGACATAAAATGTAAATTGTCAATTGGCTCTCGCTGCTTGCTTTCGCAGTTAGTTTTCTTGAAATTGTTTTTAGAAGAGGGTTTGCCATGGTACTTAAGACTTGATACTCCCACAGCTTTACTAAGCTGCTCCTAAAGTTTCTTGAAGATATCTTGGCCCATGCTCAGGCCTTCGGAGGAAACCTGGCAAGTACCTAGGCGTGCTAGTGGTCTTCGTAATATTTTGTAAAACCCCCCTTTTACTAGACGCTGTCATCTCGGATCATCCTCTGTACTTCTATGGCTCCTGTATTCCTGAACGTGATAGTCCAGTTTCTGGGCCTCTTTGGCCGTAGGTTATCCTGGAAACCTCATTACCTCTGAAGGCAACTTGTCACAGCCAGCTGAACCACCTTTAAAACCCCTCATCTTTCATGGAGCTGATCGTATACTCTCCGCCTACATTCCACCCTCGTTTTATCTAAACTTTATGGCAACCAGATCTATTCAGCGGCCTCGCCTGCTACTCTAGCCTTAACCACATTACCTAGTATGTTAATGCCTTGGTGTTTTTTCTTTTCCCCTGTTTAGAGCCTATGCAACAGCTAACGTTCCATCCTTAACCGATCGCCGTGATGCCCATTGCCTTCGCTATGTACGCTCTCATGATCTCGGCAATCCTTCCATTTATAGAATGGTCACTGATATTAGTAGACATTGTTCACTGCCCGTTTACTCGGTCCCTTTCTTAGCCTACATTAGCTCTAGTCTATTAAATCTCAGCCTTTCTATGTTCATATAGCATCTTTTCCCTACCCCCCCCCTGGGAAGTTACAGCTGTTAGTGTTTCCTCGCTCCCTTGCTCGAAAGCCCAACCGTCTACGGTAGCTTCCCGCTCTTTTTTACCACTTCCACTCATTCTCATGCCATGGCAGTGTACACAGATGGCTCTAAGTCTTCTGACGGCGTAGGATTCGCAGCAGTTTCCGGACAGCGTCGTACGAAGGAATTTACTATCTTCGGCTAGTATCTTTACTGCTGAATTGTATGCCATTCTTGCCGCACTTGTGTTGCATCTATGCCTGTCATTTGTGGTTCTCACTCCCTTAGTGCTTTACAGGCTATACAAAAATTTGATGCACCTCACCCCTTAGTCCTCTGTATCCAACTTTGGCTATGCCACATCTCTACCAAGCATAAAGATTTTTGTTGGGTCCCTGGTAATGTTGACGTACAGGGCAATTAACAGGCAGACTGCTGCGCGGTCAGCAGTACATGACCTACCGCCTTCATATAGGTGTTCCATTTACGGACTCTTTTGATGCAATATCTGCCCACCTTCACACCCGTTGGCAACAAGTTGGTAACGTTAGTCTACTCTGCTCGGTAACAAACTTCAATCTATTATACAGAGTATTATACAGAGTATAGGTTACTGGCAGTCTTATCACCAGTGTCGAGGTTGGGAGACTACTCTCTCCTGTTTTCGCATTTGCCTTACTCGTGGATATCTCGTGGAGAGGCGCCCTGCTCCTCTGATATTTGGGGGGGTTCCATTATCTTTGCCCATTTTATTTGACGCCCACTTTAAAACAACGAGCACGGGGGAATTTACCTCCAACGTAGTCTTTTCCCCCCGCTGCTCTTTACCTTTTCCCCTTTCTCGCTGATGGACCCAAACCTTTTATCCGGACCCGCATTGACCCTTTTTTTTCCCACTTAAAAACCCATACCTTTTTAGCCCCCTTTCATTAACTCTTGCTTCCCTCTACCCCCCGCACTAACCCCTTCCCCCGCCCCCCCGTTTTCTGAACATTAAATGACACCCCCCCCCCCTTTTGGCCCCCCAAAAACCCTCTTCCTTCCCGGGCCCGGCGCCTTTTATAGCCCTTGTGGCCCTTTGGGGGACTTCTTTTCGGATTATTAAAGGGTTTTAAAAATTTTGCGTTTTAAATACCGTGAAGTTTCGTCCACGGTGTATACATTACCGGGAAAGCTTTTCATAAACTTTCCCTTCAAAAGGGGGGGTCCTTGGGGGTGGTGAAAAAGGCTCTTGGTCTGAGGAATTAGACCTATCGGTCTTCTTCCTCAGACCGAACCAATTACCCCCCAATCTCCCCTCCCCCCATCCCATCCTCCCCATCCTCCCCTTTTTCCTTTCCTCCTCCTCCTCCCCACTCCTTCCCTTTTGCCCTTCCTTTTTTTGTCCCTTGGGATTTCTCCCACGGGCGCGCTAGTTCCTAGTAGAGGAAAGGACACCGGGGTCGATCCCATTCCGTTGAGGTTTTTTGGCGGTGCGTAGTTTGCCGTGGAATCTGGATTGCCTGGGGATGTCCCGATCCCTCTCCGGTATCCCAGATAGCTTTGGGGGTCTTTTGGGCGACGGGGGTAGCTCTGGAAGCCACCTTTCGGATTCCGGGGTGGTGGCTGAAGGAGGTAATGCTTTTGTGGCGGATATCCGGCCGCCCTCTCTTTTGTCCACCGAGGTAGCTCGGCAGAGTGAGGTTGCTATCCCAGATTGCTGGTTTACGGCATGAAGGTAGGGTATGGCACGGGTTCCATGCTGCATCTGCGCTACTAGCGGTGTTCCCAGTCCTCTTGGCGCGGAGGGAGATTTCTGGCCCTTTCATTCCTCCTAGGAACTATCCCTCCCCGGTCCCCCCTTTTTTTTCTTTTTTTATTTTTATTTTCTTTTTCCCCCCTTCCCCCTTTACTTTTTTTTTTTAAAAAAAAAGGGAAACCTCAAAGGAAACCCTTTCTTTCCGGGGGCCCCCCGGGGGTTCTTGTGGGGGATTCCGGCCCCCCTCTTTTTTGGCCACCCAACTTCCCGGGGGTTGATTTTGCCGGTTCCCGGGTTTCCTCAGGGGTTGGGGTACGGGGGTTCGCTGCTCCTTGGGGATTTTGGGGCCTTGCTCTCCTCGGGGCCGGGGGGGGTTTCCCGGCCCCTTTCCCCCCTAGGTCTTTTTCCCTCCCGCCCCTTTCCCAGCCCCTTTTTTTCCCCCTGTTTTTAAATTTAAATTTTTTTCCCCCCCCCTTTTTTTCCCTTTTTTTTTTTTAAAAAAAAAGAAAAAATCCAAACCGGGCGGCCCACCTAACCTTTCCCCGCCCAGGTTTTAGCCCGCAATTGGAAAAATTCTTCACCCCGCCCCTTTTTCCTCTTTTCCTTTTCCCTTTCTGCCCCTATTTGGCCGGGCCCTTTCCTCCCCGCCATTTTTGGGGGTAAAGATTTTTCCCTTTTCGTTTAAGAGGGGTTCCCCTCTTCCTCGGAATGTTTCCCCCGGCTCGTGGGCTTTTCCCCCCCCTTTCCCCAAAAATCGGGTTCCCACCCTAAAAAACAAAATTCCCTCAATTTCTTTAGTTTCGTTTTTCTCCCAAAAGGGCAAAAAATTTCCCATCCCTTTCCACGCCATTTAAAGGAACAGGGGAAACTAAATTCTTCCAATCCCCAAAACCTTCCCTTTTTTTCCCTGCCCTGGGCAAGGAACCCTGGCCAATGGGGGGTTGTTTTCTTTTCAGCCGAAAAACTTCCCACCCCTTTTTAATATTAGCGGGA